GCAGAATTTTTAAGTTATATCTTAGAATTTTAAGGACAATATGGAGGTCGTATAATGCAAATAACTTCCTTCGTTAGCTTTTTTGTGATGGACATAGAAATGCATGTTATGTATAAGTCTGAGGAAATGTCATGAAACAAAAAACTTGTATCTTGTATAAATTAAGAAATTCATCATAAACATCATTGTATTTATAGGTTTTATTCATTACTTGCACTACTTTTTTTAAAACAAAATTAAATGAGATGTTTTCAAATTCAGTAATAATTAAAAATAAATTAATTAATTATATATGATAAAAATTAAACGAATTAAAATTTGGTAAAACATCATTTAAAATTTGAACAAAGACAAAGCCTTTCTATGACAAATCAAGAATATTTTTATTACTTATTTTTGTTATTGATATTCTTTCTTTAATGTTATAAAAAACTTGATTATACCTTATAAAGTATCATTTAAGTTTCCAACCAGTTATTTTATGTTAATTTACTTTACTATCAGTTTCGTTTTCATTTCCCTGCCAGAATTTAAATTTCCAGCGTGGCAATATTCAAATTTAAGTAGAAAGAAAGGAGTATTTAAAGGAAGGTTTTGGAAGATGAAATCAGGCGTGTACTGCCTGTTTGAAGGCCACGTTGCTAACTCTGATTTCCTAGCGATCAGTATTCTGCGGCGTTGAGTTATTCCTGCCATTAGTCTTGTTTACGCCAACTCTGGTCAGAGTCAGTTTGCGCCCTAGTTAACTGTGAAGCCTACTATATCTTTTTAACTATACTTAAATTTCATTTGTTTTAGTTCATCCATTATCTTTGATTTAAAGCCAAAGCTATAAGTTGTTGCCATGTGTTAAACTTTATGATGTTTCATTTGTTTGAATGTTGTTGATATGAAATTTCGTTTGTTTTAGTTCCTCCATTATTTTTGATTTAAAGCCAAAGTTATCATGAGTTGGTGCCGCGTGTTAAACTTTACTTGGATTAATAAAGGATCCTTTACATCCTTTTCCTGTCTCTGTGGTATTTATAACACACAGTTAAAACTCACTTATCTTTTAGAGCTCTGATCTAATTGTATGCTACTTAAGAAGGCCAGATCTTGACTAATAAACGCAGAATTAAAAAAAAAAAAATTCTGGAAAGGTTTCAGATTTTAAATTACGTCCAAAGGGGCGTTTTTTTAACGTTTTGTGTGTAACCTTTATTTATTAAATATCATGTTCTTTTCAAAATTCAGTTCAATAGCAATGTCGCAAAATAATTTTAAAATGAGCATATCTTTAGAATTTCCGATACACAGTTCCGAGCCCTGGAGATAAAAGGGTTACCCCTGGTAGAGTGTTGCCATTGCTAGCTTTGAAATCCTTGGGTTTGTTAATCAAAAATTCGTTAAAGTTGTACAAAATAGGAAATCGATAATAAAACAAATTCCAATTTTCAAATTTGGTCTTCCACATGCCCATATTCGTAGAAGGATTACGTCATTCATAATTCGATGGCTCTATGTACCGTTGTTTTATCACAATGCGAGAAATATACATAAATTTATGCAGATTTTTCATTATTTAATTTATTCAAATATAATGCAGGACTCTAACATTTAGTGGCAACAGTTTGAAAAGTGAACCGGACATTTATGGTGATTCAACGCAAAATCGTAAAACGAAAACAATAGTCCTTCAGAGAAAAAGCCCCTTTGGACTAAAAATTATTCTTTTTTAAACAGGACTAATTTATTAAATACATATCTTATTTTTTTGGAATGTAACTTTTCGACATGTATGCTTCTAATCTTTAGATAATGGTTACTTGTTTTTTTAATTAAGTGCACAAGATGTTTTCAAGCGGGTCCAGATCTAGCATATGGCAGGTTAAGTAATTAAACATATTTCTTCCATTAAAGTGTTATAACAGAATAGACGAATAGACGATAATATGCCAACATTTGTAGTGGATGACAAACTTAAAAATATATATAAATATTAATTTTAATTAACTTAACGCAAAGTTATTTCTAAGTAATTTAAAATATCGTAAATAAAATCACTCAGATTTTCATTTTCGAAAACTTCTTCAATTGATTATAATTTCACCATGCTCTAAGATATTATTTTAAGTATATTATCCGTTAAAAAGTTAAGAAATAACATTACTTTCGTTATATCCAGCACCACCTTACCTCCAACGTAAACTTTAAACAGATATTTTCAACACAAAAACAACGTCTCCTAACCAATTCTAACACAAAAGAAGGCAGAAACAACGGAAATGGAGAGAAAAATATAAATTACTTCATACGTGAAAGCCTATGTAATACCCATGGGAAACTTAATATTGTTTTATTTTTTTGATATATCCGTTCTTCCTGAACATACAGCAGGTGACAGGTGACAGGTGACGGAGGACGAGGGCGCCTGATGTTTAACATAGGTAAACAGGCATATGCCCCGCGTCCTCCACTATCTAGTGGCAACAACTCCCTGGAGCCTCATCAGGCTGCCTCGGGAGTATATTTGAATCTTAATGAGAAAGTTACATGGCCATACAAGGGCGGTTGACATAGTCTACATTACAAGTGATGTGTATGACATTTGAAAGTTTTAGGATTACAGTGGTTGTTACAGGAAATCTAAAAAAAAAAAAAAAAAAGGGGGTGGAGGTGGCATAAAAATGTAAGACATAATACACATAATAACAAACACACTTAAAATACACAGAACATACTTAAGACACAGAAGATACTGCTAAGTAGAGTACTAATAATGCATTCATGTGATGCTGTTAAAACATATAATATTCATATGAATATAATAAACATATATGGTGCTGTTAAAACATATATACCAGTATTATTACACGCTTCCACATATCACATAGTATCACATCTGCCCATCGCAGATGTAATATGTGATATGTGGAAGCTATGTACTAATGACATATAAAAACACAAAAACGTGTAATAAAACTGGTAAGATCACAGGATGCAGAGCAGAGATAAAGCTGCGATACTAGTGAAAACATATGGTGCATGCCAGATATAAAGCACGCGTGTAACATTGCCAGATATAAAGCACGCGCGTATACTAATTAAAAACACATGATGCAGGGCAGTTTTAAGACAGATAATAACATAAGTTGCAAATAATTATTAGCAATGAACTTTTGGTTTACATATGAAACAGATGGTGGTATATGAGTAATAATACTTATGGGGAGACAATTCATAGTGCATGAACCTAGGCTAACACATGATAGGAGTACATGATGCAGAGCAAATATGTTAATAGTATATACACATTATACAGAGCAAATATAGAGCTAAATAAAAGACATGATTCAGGACAACTATAATACTGTTAAAAACACATGACTTTGGGCAGAGATGATGCTATTTAAAAGCACATGATGCAGGACAGAGATAATAGTAATGAGAAACACATGATGCAAGCATAAATATGATACACATGGTACAGGGCATATGTTATACTAATAGAAACTCATGATGCAAAGCAGATATAATACAAATAGGAGCATATGATACAAATAAATATTAGGGTACTTTATGCAGAGCAGGTATGATGCTGGTATATACACATATGATGCAGAGCAAATCTAGAGCTAATTAAAACGTGACATAGGGCAGATATGATACTAATAGAAATACATGAAAATACATTATGCAGTGCAGTTTATGTTCTAATGAACACGTATGATGCAAATCAGATATGAGAAAAAAAAAAAAAAGGGCCACATGCCGCTGAGCAGGTATAGTACGATTAAAATCATTTGATGCAGGACAGATATGATACTAATGAATATACATGATGCAGAACAGATAAATAGCTTATAGGCTCATATGGTACAGAGCATATGTTGTACTAATAGGAACGCATGATGTAAAGTAGATGTAATACAAATGAAAATATTTAATGCAGATAAATATTTGGGGTAAACAGTTGGTGTTTCATATAATGCATATGATAGTATATGTGTAAAAAAAAAAAAAAAAAAAAAAAACTTATGATTAGACAACTCATAGTGCACGAACTTAGGCTGTCATACGATTGAAACACATAATGCAGTGCAAATATGATATTAATGTATATACATGATGCAGAACAAATATAGAGCTAATTAAATGACATGGTGCTGAGTAGATGCAGTACAGGTGAAGAACGAGTAAATACACTTGGTACAAAGTAAATATGATGCCAATAAATATACATGGTGCAGAGCTGATATGATACTAATAGCAAAGCAGATATAATACGAATAAAAACACATTGTGCAAATAAATATTAAGGTAGACAAAGATACATATGATAGTATATGAGTAATAAGTGCTAATAGAAACATATGATACGGAGAGCTGATATGATGCTTATAGGAAGGCATGCTACAGAGTCGTTATAATACTGACAAAAGCACATAATACTGTGCTTGTATAGAACTAATAAGGACACATGACAGCGTTAAAGTTCATTAAATATTTGCTATTGTGCAAGAGTTCTCAAACCAAAAGTTCTCAAAACCCGGCAGTTTAAGTTCTGTTTAGGTATAAGATATAAGGTATGCGTTTTAATTAGTCACCATTTTCTATGGAAAAGATATTGAATGGAGCAAATTGTAGTTTATGTATAAATTGCCTGGATAAATGCAGTGGAAAACCTTATGTTGATTAAATGGGCTGGCAGATATCCTGACCTAGTGCCGCGATAAATTTTATAATTTTACATATTGCATTAATGCTTCCCTTGTGCTTTAATTATCAGTCGGTGGTAGGCAGTTATGTTGCTCGTGGGCATGAAAAGATGCATGGTATTTGTCAGAGGGCACCTGAATAGGTAGTGGTCTGGCGTTCCGTCTTCTCCACAGGCACAGATGTCTGTATTTGATATCCCATGTCGATGAAAATAAGACGGGAACGGCCCGTGACCTGTTATGTAGTTTACCAAAGGAGCAATGGCGATAAGGCGGTCAGTTGATACCTTTGAAATACGCTCATAGGTGCGCCTCCCTGTTTTCCGCATTAGTCCATTCTTCTTGCCATTGTCGTATTGCTTGTCCCTGCAAATGACGCTTTAGATAGGATGGTGGGGCAGGAATATTTATTTCTTGTGCTTCGAGATTGCTTGCAGCATCCTTAGCCAAACGGTCAGCTGCTTCATTTCCCTGGTTGCCATCGTGGGCTTTGACCCAGACCATGGTAATTTTAGTGTGACGATTATGCTGCAGGATGTCTTGCAAGTTAATGATGCTCGGCGATACATGGTGTTGATTTTCTATTGCATTTATTGCTGAAAGGCTGTCCGTGTATATGGTAGATGCCTGTATATTGTTGTTGAGTATATGCTGTACCGCTGCTGTGAGAGCAGTAACTTCCGCCTGAAAGACGCTGTTTTCCGGTTTCAGATGTCCTTTCCATGTGTATTCGGTGTTGGAACCATCATAGTGTATAAAGGCACTACCTACTCCATGTTCATGCTTCGAGCCATCCGTGTATATCTTCGTGAGGGTGTCTCGATGAAGGCAGTTGGATTTAACTGTGCGTATGCCTGTCCCTTTTATTGAGGGATGTGTACGCAATACGTCGCCCCGATGCTCATATTGGACTGGGCTATAGGTAGTGTTTCCAAATGTCGCATCTCGGCGCAAGTGGATCAGTTGGGCATATGCAGATTCCATTAAGGCTTTGATATGCAGTGGTATGATACCAGCTAGTACCTGTGCTGCATTTGTGGCTGTAGTTCGATATGCTTTGCATAGGTTTATCGCAAAAGGTCTTTGCAAGGCTGATAGTTGACGGATTTTCCTGGCTCCCATTGGGTTTGCCCAGATTGGGGCTGCATATAATGCGATTTTCTCTGCAACTGTGAGATATAACAGTTTCTGAAAATGGGGGCTCTGACCCCAATTCTTGCCCTGAAATTGGCGCGCTGTTCTCGCTATTCGAGATGTTTTAACACGAAGGTCTTGTATATGAGGAATAAAGGTTAGACCGGAGTCCCATGTTACTCCTAGATATTTAAGATTTTTAACGAACTTAATATTTCTCCCGTTTAATTTAATACAGGGCCGTCGTGTTGGATTTGTTCCTGGCCTTGGAATGATCAACGCTGTTGACTTTTCTGTTGATATTTGAAGCTTAAGTCGAGTGCAGTAGTCAGCAAAAAGTGTGCAGACTTCTGTGCCGTTTTTCTCCAGTTCGTTGCGTGTGCGTCCTCGCACCAGGAGTGCAGCATCATCTGCGTAGGCGACAACTCGCGTGTGTGCGGAACATACAGCAGCAAACCAAAAAACCACTTTATTACTTTAAATTTTAAAAATATCGAAAATGTTTTCAAAGTATAATAAAATAACGCCCATGAAACGCCCATAAAATCTCATTCTAACGAGAGATTGAACGAAGGCCGATAAAAAAGGGAAAGTATGGGGTCAAAACTAATTAATTTCCAGCCTCAGATTTTGGGAGCGATGTCCGCATTTCTATACCTGCATGGCATTCAGTCATAATTATAAAGGATTTGCGACATCATTATAAGGAAAAAAAACAGTGAATATCAGCCCTTTCTCATATAAATTATAAATTTTGCATCTAATACAGGAAGTGATCTCTTTTTCCTTTTGATGGATAAAGTCGCTTTTATGGAAAGAGAATTTATTTTGGAGAGGGATGTTGATGTAAATGCAAAAGTATTGATGAAATGTAATATCTTTCATCAACGACAGCGAAATTTTGGCAAACAATTACATCAAAGGTAAGGAAATACTTTTTGATGATTGTGCTCCACATCCTCAAGATATTGGAAGAAATTAAAAATCTATAAATACACAATTTCTTTCCCCAAATATGACTTAAGTGCTAAATCTTGTGGATCAATGGATAATGAGCTTCTAGAGGGATTATTGATAACGTGTGTTGAATAAAATTTTAGATGGATCAGAAACTAAAATACTCTCTTTTGTAACTTTGCTAATTGTTCCTAACACATTAAAGGCATTTGAGGTTGTAATATAAGACTAAATTAAAGCTAGATCTTTACTTGAATTGCAAAATGACTGTTCACTAAGTCAACTGTATCAGTAACAACATATGGGAAGAGTGAAAAGACTCTTTTATTCAACTCATGAACAGTATTTACAGTTTGAACTCCCGGTGCTTCCAGGTCCACGCGAATACTTTTGGCGGCAATTCAAAATAAAAACGCTAATTAAACTATACCTAAGATGAATAATCAGCCGAAGCTGCGCAGAGATATTTTAACGCTTTATTGGCTCTTGGCCCTACCACCGACGTAGACTAAACGGCAATTAATATGCAGTGCCGGTAAAAGCAAGCTTAAGTAGCAGAGAAACAACATGGCCGAAAGGCAAAACACCATTTGGCTGAAGAAATTCAGATAACAACTCAAAGAGTAGCTTTTTACCCTACTTTGCATAATATGAGCGAAACTGAAATCTCATTCTGACAAGAAAGCGTGGGTTGAGAACAAGAATTATAGGAAACATTGGGCTCGCGAAATAAAATTAACTCTTAATTAAATTAAAATCTCACAAGGTGAAGATTCATGTCATCGACTTGCAATGGATTATATCATGAAGATTTACGAATGAAAAATCAGTTCAATAGAATCTGACAAAAAAGGAGCACTATAAGACAGCTCTTCGCCCACTGATACAGATGAAGAATTAATTTTTTTAACGGTAAAGCACATTAATATTCTGGAAACTTTTATGTTTCAGGATTATTTGACTACCTAGCTTTCCTGATAAAGACATTCAGCAGGTAGAATTGCTGAAATTCAGTTATAAATTCTTTAAATCTTAGACACATCAATACACATGATTCTCTTACTGAAAATGCAGGTTAAGAAAAACCTCGTCTATCAATGATAGATGCAGAAAATGGAGGTCGAGTGTTATAAAATTTCTTCCAAGGAGAAGAAAATGCAAGAAAATATTTTTCATTAATTAATATATTAAAAATTGGAAAAGAAATACTTAGAATATCACCCGAAACAACTTTATCAAAAAAAGATTGACTTCCGCTTATATAAATCACAAATAATTGTTTGTTTCTTCTTATAATCAAATTAAATTAAGGAGAAATTTTTGAAAATACGTTTTACGAACAAAATGTTTATTTATTTTATAATTAAAATTCCAAGCAAGAAAATGAAAAAAAACTGCAAGCATAATTTTATTTTTTCATTATTTAAAATTTAATAAAATTGATAAACTAATTAATGAAATTTAAAAATTTAATTAATAAAAAATAATTTAAGAAAATCTTAAAATTTAATAAATAGTATATTGATAAACCCTTTTTCCTCTTCACCAAACATTCCATGAACCGACCATTCTACCTAGCTTTCCTTTTCATCGGTCACTACAGGGTCGAGTACAAGATAACGAGATAACGAGAGTCAACGCTGCTTTGACATTACTGGATTTTGATTTCTTCATGCTATCTATCAAATGTTTTATATATAATTATAGAGAATAGAATCTAGCACTCTCTAACTTCTATCTATAACTAATCTCTCTCTCTAACTTTTATAGAGAATAGAATCTAGAATCTCTAACTTCATGCACTAGCTGTGCATCTAAATACACATTATGTTATATTATCAGAATATTTACAAATTAAGATTTAAAAATTTAATGCAAAACTTAACAAAGATACAGTTTATGATCATGCACATACAGAAAGATAAGATAGTAGTTGAAACTGGTCATACAGCCTTAACTATAAGCTAGTCGCCATCAGCCGTAAGTTGATAAGCAGGTGGCCTTTGGATAAGAGTAAAATTAATTTTTTTTATCATTCTCTTAGGAACACGATTGTAGGAAATACGTCGTCAAAAAAAAAAAAAAAATGCGGAACTGGATTCAATTTTTCAAATGTATTAAGCGAATTTCAACGTAGTGACTGACGTTCCAAAACGTTTTATGATGGCGTGTCATAAGCTGTCTTCTTTCCCATGACCGCCGTCAAATCTCGTCAAAGAATTGTTTCAAAGAATTCATAACATAAAAAGTCGCTATAAATCTAAGTAATGACACAGAGAAATGAACACTAGTCGGAACAGCTCAGTTCGCCGAAAGTTTTAAAAAGAAAGAGGATACAATTTCTTTTTTCACCTGCGTTATACATTTGTTCAATGATTAGAAGAAAGTTCAAAGTTTAATTGTCAAGTATATTTTATTCTCTTCAAAATACAATGCTTTCTTTCATTTGTATTTGCAACTTTTAGATATCTCCTTCGTTCATATTTCAGTAGATTGAAATAAAAATGACATAACATAAAATCTGGTTTTCTGACATGTGCACCGAGAATCGAGTTTAAAGTCGGAAACGGAGGAAAATTCGATAACTGTATTATAGAATTCACCAATAAGCTGTGAAAGAAATATTTTGAATCTTTATCTGACATTATTCTAGTCAGGGTGGATAATCTAACCACTCCGTCTACAAATTTCCTTCATAATGTATGGACTTTCCACTTAAAAATAGCTCCTGATTTCATTAGACCTGGTGCTGGAACTTAAATAATATGTCTTGTTCTAGAGTTAGTACAGAGTTAGTAATGAACAAAAAATAGTTTTGAAAAACAAATCAAAAAGTAAATCACCTGCTTCTCAAAACAGTGCATCATCAGAATTTATTCATTTAATTTTTTTTTTATCAGCTGAAACTCAGTTTCATTGCGTATAAATGAGATTTTTGAAAATATTTTCCTCTTTTTATTTTAAATATTTTTAACTCTTTAAACATATTATTATACCTACTGTATACTTTTTATATTAGTAAATGAAACTTTTTTTCTTTAACTGGTTACGAAATATTTTATTAGAAGGTTAGAGGAAGGAAGAGGAGTGAAATAAAGTTCACATTTGCCTCTATCTTATTTTACTCATTGGGTGGGGGGATAGTAAACAACTCACATACTTAATTTCTGTTGTTATTTTTGTAAGAGTTAAAATAAGATTTTTAAAAAGACAAATTGGAGAAGTAATGGCGCAAGATTTTAATAAAGGAAAAAAGTAGGTACTCACTTAGTAAAGCAAAATAGAAAATATATTAAAAAATTTTAACGTGTTACAGCGTTTTTAAACTACAATTTTGTAATGCAGAATAGAAATTTATTGATAAAACTAAAAATAAAAATCAGTACTGGTTAATTACAGATTTTAGATGTTGTTTAATTTGGCTAAGTTTAAAAACACTTCTTTTCGTAGTAAAATTTACAGGATTTTACCGATATCTGATCGAAAATGTCGTCTGCCCTGCACTAGAAACCTTTCTTTTGCAACTTGTTTAGCTTTTGTCAATTCAATTGTTCAATTCTTGACGGTTTAAAAAATGATTACATGAGTAATAATCAATTACCAAGTTACCATAACTAAACGTATTTTGACATCTCATCTTAAATAACAGTTACATTCTGCCGTTTCTTATTCAAACTCCTTGACTTTACAATTTCTCTTTGAAAATGTTTATTATAAATTTATGTTAAAGTTGCAGTAAATATTAACTAAAATTGAAAAGAGATGTATTATGAACATTCATATTGTTTGCCTTGAATAAACCCGACAAGATTTCAAAATTTATGATTTTTGAAATGCATGTTGCATTTATAGAATTTTAGCACTGCCTTTTGATTTAACATAGAAGAACACTCAGTATAGTTTTAAATAAAAGAATTTTGTAACTCTAAAGTTATGCAATTAGATTCTGTGCGGGATTTTTTATTTTAGCCAAATTAAAACTTCAGCTCAGTTCGAGCAGAATTAAATGCGACTCTTGAATCGAGACTTCT